CACATAGACACACCAGCCCCTGCAGACCCACAGGCCTTCCCCCCCCGCCTCATTTTCTCCCCTGCAGTTACTTACTTACCTTGGTCTGCCCATGCCACTCCCATCAGCACCTGCACATGCAGCTCCCTGTTTAGGTTTAGGTGGCTTAAAGTAAGCAGCTTAAACTTAAACCGGGTATTGCAAATGCTTGTTCGTACCCTGAGACACTAATGTGTATATGTTCAAGATCAGAGGCTTTCCTGCACTGAAAGGTAAGAACAGAATCCCACTGCTGTCCCCCTGCTTGAAATCTTGGACCATGCTTCAGTACTTCATTTATGAATAAGGTGATGAGCTCCTTCTGCCAAGGGAAAGGAATGTCTAGCTGTCCATTCTTTGCCAATACTGGACCTTACCTGCACTCAGACAGTTGGATTCTCCACCGTTTTGCATCCTGCATTAACAGCTGTCCAAATGCAAACTCTTGCAGCTCAGAGGTTTCCATTTTCTCTGGGGTGCAGCTACAAGAGGCATTTAGTGCACAGTAGACTAATTAGCCGTGCATAAATATTGCACGTCTACATGTGCTACCCTATTAGGTTGGAGTAAACTAAATTATTCTGCAGCAGAATAGTACTTGTAATTACAAATTCTGTCCTGCTGTGGAGTTTTCTGCTCTGCAGCAATGCATGTGTAAACAGTGCCCTGGCTGGCTGGGGCACGAGGATACTTAACTGTAGGGGCTTTCTGCTGGCTAGCCCTGTACCAAAGCACTCTCGGTCCTCAGCCAACCCATTTGCAGCACTCTGGGCCAGGAGGAGCAGCCCCAGGCTGAACCCTGGAGCCCCCTGTCAGCTGGGGCTGCTCTGACCTGGCTCAACATGCTGTCATCCTTGGTTCACGTGCAAACCATACACCCAGGACAATAAACTCTGGAGCAGTAAGCCCAGAATGTATTGCTTTGCATTAATATGCATGTATAGACAGGCCCAGGTAGTAGCATTTTACACCTACTGTGCACAGGTGCAAGTGGTTAAGGAATTGTAAATGATAGGCCGCTGGACATGGACACTGTTTCAACGGGTGACAGAAAAGCAGAAAAGTGAGTGCATTACAGCAGTTCAAACTCATTTGCTCACTTAAACTGTGATGCTTTGTAACATGAATATTTAAAAAATCTGTCTATAAAAAGACTGCTAAAGCCAAACAGGGGAGGGTACCACAGGAACTGGAGTGGGACATTTTCACGAACATAAAGTCGGATTAGGTCAGTAAGTATGAAGGTTATTTGATTCCCACCCCCCTTAAGAAAATCATTACCTTCCTGAACAATAGGACTGTGGTTTACAGAATATCCATGAGCACCACTTACCAATATTAATACTTCTTAAAAGATGCTAAGGTAAGATGTAAGATTTTTGTGGACTGTACATGATTAATGTTAATTATAATTGTTACACTGGAGCATTGAAAATGAAGATGAAAGTGTCAAAAAGCCACACCCATTATATGTATTCCTATGCTTAGGTGTCCCATACCAAAGTAAGGGTATTAAGTGACTGCAAAATCTGCTAATAAAAATTACTATTAAAAGTATTAGAATGAAATCACTATGTCCCAAGCCTTTTGAAGGACCTCATGGTATTAGGAGCTGGGGAAAGGCTGCAGAAAGAATCACGCAGACAAAGGAATATGAGTTATCCTCAAAGATCAGTTTTGGTGTTTGAAATTCCTCAACGCTATCTACTTTCCACTTCAGTCCGCCCTCCTCAGCTTGAAGATTACTTGGAAATTGGCTAAAGAAAATAAGCACTGATCTACACACATATAGTGGAGTGAAAACAGAAGAACCCTGATTACAGGATCCACAAACCCAGAAAACAAATACTGAATTGGAAAAGTCCTGGGCCATTGAGTTTTATAAAAGAATCTGTTTTTACAAAGGGTCTCAAACTACCTGAATTCACATGAATATGAACATCATGCCTTAGACCTGTCTCTAATTATTATTATTACTGCACTTAGGTTGAAAACACCCATCAGAGATGAGTGTAAGGGTATAGTATACTATAACATAAGACTGTAAGAGGGGAGGCCTTGATTCTCTGCTGCCTGACAGCTTATACTTCTGTGGAAAGTATGTGTAAAAAAAAAAGCTGGTCTTCTGCCATGGCACACCTGTCCTGACGTGGTCCAACCACCTTACCAGTCTGATTTGGCTAATGTGCTTTATACCCACATAATAACAGTGGAAATAACGATATGAGGTGCAGAATAGTGGAAAATCAGGTGTGTATTACTTGGTTAATGCTTTGGTCTTAAATCATTTTCCCACTGTCATTAAATTTCACCCTTTTACAGGCCTCTGGCTGCTTTCTCCTCTAATTTCAAGAGTTCCCTATAAGTTCAATCACCAACAGGTGAGCATGCTACACCATTTGCTTTTTTACTGGGTGCTTGTCATCAAAACCTCGCAACAAAAGGCTTTGCAAAAAGGGGCGGGTGGGCTGGGAGCAGAGAAGAGGAAGAAAGTGGCAGAGATCATGTGCCAGCTCTATTAGCGCCTACCACCTTGGCCCTGGGTAGGGGGGATTGTCAGCAATCTGGTTTCAAAAGTGGGACTAGAGAGAGGAGTCAAAACTCGCAGAAGAAGTTATATTTTTTATTAGATCAACTAGCTATTTGCAAACAAAATATTTTATTTATTTGCAAACTTTTGGGCACGCTCACCCTTCGTCAGGCATAGGAGAGAACAGAGATTGTAAAAGTTCTCCTAGGTGGAAATGAAAATTCATATTTCACAGGAGAGCTGATGCTGCGCCTAGACTCCTGGTGGCCCTGGGGGAACTTGTAGTATAGGGCCCTCCTTTGCCAGAGAAAATGATTTTTTTGTTGCAAAATTCTTTATCACATCTGTGGTACTGATGGGGCCACCCTTGGGGGGTGCAGCACCTGGGGCAAATCAGCCTATATGGGACCCCCTTAACACTGCAGAGGGCTGTGGTACCCCCACAAAGGGAGGGGGGTCTCTGTGCTTCTTTCGCGGCATGGGGCTAAGCCGCCAGCTCCGGGTGGGTCCCATAGGAGGGGCTGCAGCCGCTGTGCCCGGCTCCGTGGGGCACCCCCAGAGCATGAGGCCCGGGGCAGTTGCCCTGATTCACTGTACCCTATGGACAGCTCTGGGTATCGATGTCTTTAAATAGCTCATTCTCAACTGATAACACTGTTAGTCCTGTATATGTGCAATATTAAAAAAAAAATTTGCAATTGTAATTTTTTTTTTTTCATTTTTGGGCCCCCTTTCTGTTTGGGCTCCAGGGGGCCGCCCAGTTTGCCCATGCCTGTGTCAGGGCCTGAGGAGAGTAGAAAGTGTGGTCAAGTCTCCCCTTTGCAATTCGGCCCAATATTTGTGCAATATTAAAACTTTTTTTGGAATTTTTTTTTTTTCCATTTTCAGGCCCCCTTTCTATCTGGGCTCTGGGGAGTTCACCCGTGCCTGCGTCCAGGATTAAGTAGAGTAGAAGGTGTCTCCTCTTTGCAATTCAGTCCCATGTATGTGCGATATTAAAACTTTTTTTACAGTTGTGATTTTTTTTTTCCATTTTCAAGCCCCCTTTCTGTCTGGGCTCTGGGGGGCTGCCCAGCTCACTCATGCCTATGTCTAGGATTGAGGAGAGCGGAAAGTGCGGTCAAGTCTCCCCTTTGCAATGGGAGTGTAGGTTGTCGCCATGCTGGTCTAAGGACACAGGCAGGCCAGGTTCTTTGGGTCAATCCAATATCTTTTATTTGACCAAGTCACATTTGAGCAAACGGGGTATCTTTGGGTAAATGGGATATCTTTTATTTGACCAACTCACATTTGAGCAAATGGGGTATCTTTGGGTAAATGGGGTATCTTTTATTTGACCAACTCACATTGGAGCAAATGGGGTATCTTTGGGTAAATGGGGTATCTTTTATTTGACCAAGTCACATTTGAGCAAATGGGGTATCTTTGGGTAAATGGGGTATCTTTTATTTGACCAACTCACATTTGAGCAAATGGGGTATCTTTGGGTAAATGGGGTATATCTTTTATTAGACCAACTCAAATTGGTCTACTGGACCAAACTGGAGTTGGTCTAATAAAAGATACCCCATTTACCCCAAAGCACCTGGTCTGCCTGTCCTGGCCTCGTTGGTTCTGGCCAGGGAGGCACAGAGAAAGGTGGAAAACAAAGTCTTTGTACCTCTGGAGAGAACTTTCTCGGTTTGCTCCTTCCTTAAAAGTTGGGAAGCGGGGGCCAGATCCGGCCCCGCGTGGCAAACTCCTGCTCGCAGCCCGCAGAGCCCGGCCCGGCTCGGGGCAGGCGGCGGCCGGGGCTGTCTCTTTAATGCGCTGTCTGCTCGGAGTAAATTTCCTCCTGTCATCAGGTCGCGGAGGAGGAGTTTGTTAATGTGCAGTTTGCTCAGTGGATCGATGTTTGCTGGCATCGCCTCGCCCTGCCTGTGTGTGCGCGTGTGTGTGTGTGCGTGTGTGTGTGCGCGCGTGCCTGTGTGTGTGTGAATACCAGATTTCCTCCCATCCAAAGCCTCTCTGTCCTCTCCCATATCACTCACAGCCTGGCATCTGACAGCAACAAACCTGCAGCTCGCTGCGCACACGCACACACACCCGCACGCACGCACACACACACACACACACACCCCGCCATACAGCTCTGCGAGGAAGGAGGAGGAGGAGGAGGAGGAGAGGAGAGGAAAGGGAGGAAGCAGACAGCCCCACAAGCTTTGCAGACTGCTTAATTTTTTTTAATATTATTTTGATCCCCCCCCCCCCCATCTATGTTGTTCTCGCTTTATTCCTGGCACTGTGGGGTCCTTTCTTTTGCTCCTGATCTCGGATGTTTGAAGCCAAGCAAGTGTTGCAACAGTTAAAAAAAAAAATCCTAGCCGACCTAGAGCTCTAAAATAAAATAAAAAAACCCAAACCAACCAACCCCCAAACCAAACAGGTTCCTATCAGTGCAGTGCAAGGGGGGTGGGGGGAGCCTCGGCTGGGAAGGGGGGAGCGGAGACAGAGCCGAGAGACACAGGCACGAGACTCGCGCCGCCGAGGGTCGCGGACCTGGGGACAGAAGTGCGATTGGAGAAAGTAGAGCGATGCCAAGGAGGAAACAACAAGCACCCAAGCGGGCTGCAGGTAAGGAGAAGCCATCCCCTCGCCCGGCTCTGTCCCTTCCCCTCCTTCCCCCTCGTCCCCATCATGATGTGGGGGCACCGGTGCTTTTTTTTTTTTTGCTGGACTGGATCTTTATTTACCCCCCCCTTCCCTTTCCCCTCTGCCTCCCGTTGGAGGCAATGCTGCCTCGGATCCCCGCCTGATGAAGAGGA